ACCTAATTCGATTTTCGACTGCGTATGAGATTTTCATACTGTTACGATAAAAAAAAATGTGACGAAATCACGTGATACAGCTGTTGATCAATGGTAATTACCGGGACGATTAATATTACCGATGAATGATCAACGTCACATAACGGGAAGATCAATGTTCGAAATGTTTAATATATCAAATATATTAAATATATTGCACATATGGTATATATGGCACATATTAAACATTTTAAACATTTTTAGTTTGGAATTTTATGTATATATAGACCTGTAATTAGACCTGTAATTAGGATAATTCAATAAGAACATGTGTGAAGAATTTAATTAATAAAATGTTTACCCTTTAATATACACCTTAATTTTAAGTTTGGTTTTATATGGTTAATCTGCATTCCATTATTTGTGTCTGATTGTATGCGCCAGTGTGAAGAGATACTCTATTCACATCTGATTGGATTGATTTTAACATATACGTTGATCTTTAAAATTAACCTTCTGCTTTATTAAATATAAACATTTTTTAATGTATAGCTTATTTTTAAGCTTATAAGAACTGACCTCTAACAATACGCAGCCATACGCAGTCATACACACATAGTAAACTGTTAGAATTATTGTGATATAACTGCGGATGACTGCATATGAAAAATTAAAAAAATGAGTTTGACGGTCCGGGCAGATATTACCATGCGTATGACTGCGTATGAAATTTTCATACGCAGTCAAGAGATAAATTAGTGGTCCGTTATTCTCGTAAATAGCTGTAAAGGTGTAATACTTGAAATTACAGTTACTATCTGTCTGATGGCAATGCTTTACCAGAAAATTGAAACAAAGTTGTCTAAATAAAAAACTTAATTCCAGCTGGAATTTAGTTTTTGTCTTTAGATATAAATGTGAACAGTGAAGTTCTTTAATTAATTTTTTCATGAAATTGTGTAAATCGCTTCACTTATATAGTTAGAAGACAGAAGTACAATTAGTGTTCACAAACTTTTCACCCATTTTGGACATTACACTCAATTTTTACCGTTACCACCTATGACGGCTATTACGACGACATAAAGTTACAACTTTACGGTAAATACTTCACAACCCTTTACAACCTGTAGCAACTATTACGGATATTTATAGCATCTTGATGTTTAAGCTCTTAAAATTTTGAAAATTTCAATTCCAGCAAACAAATTCTTTTCCCTAGTCAAAATCGTAACTATTATTTAGGTATAATTTTAAATTTTTGAACTTTACTCCTTTACCTCGTTAATATTCTATTAGAATACGCTAATTCGCTAATTGTTAAGATTCTTAAGACGATAATTCAATAATTATTAGTGATATCTGCTACAAGTTTATATAATATGGAATAATTATTAATGGTAGGAAATTAAGATTTATTAGTAATTCCATTATCAAGTTACGGAAGTTTAACATTAGAAGCAATAGAACTAACGATAGCTGTTTCATTATTAAGGGATATAAGTAAGTTTAATAATTTCCTCTGCATGCTTCAACTTTTAATAAAAGACTGCTTGTTTTTAGGAGATTTGCTATTTTCTACAAAAAAGTTTTTTCCAGATGTAAACTCTTAAGAAATAAACTATTATGGAAGAAAGTATTAATACGATGCACATAAATTTCATAAATTCTTTAAATTTATATAATTTTTCCTGTAGCAGAACTTTCTAGTTAAGTATTTTGAATAATATCATATATCAGGACGTCATTTTTTTTAAAAAAATTTTTAGCATAATAATGTGTGAAAAAAAAATTAGTCAGCAGCCAGAATATTTAATAAATGTAGATAGGCCATTAGCGCTAAATAATTAAATAAGATCAATTTACCAATGCGTATTTGTTGTAATAAATCAAAATTCTTATACGTCTTCATGTTACAAAAGTCAGTATATGCGAAATACTAGATATCAGAGTAAGAAGTAATTATATTTTTAAAAATGAAAATTACTTTTAAATAAATTTTTTTAGCAGTCATGTTTGTATAAATTTGATTTAGCTTCAATAATAATCTTATTAACCATCAAAATAAAATAATATTCAATGTTGAATTATTGCTTCATAATCTGAAATACTTCATAATTATCTATTGAAAATTCATCTTCTGTATCTCTTACCATTTTTTCGTAATAATACTTTCTAGAGTAATTATAATTATAATCATTTGTTTCACTATAATTATCATTAATATAATTATATACCACGATATCAGAACCAAATGTCGGACCGGTTGCAGGGTTATAGTTTAATGCATGATCTATATTCTCTACATTACTAATAATTGCATCTTTAATATTATTCTTACTTTTAAAAGAAAATACAAAACTGCCTTTAGTTTTACCATAACCACCAGAAGTTAACCATACCGTTGGATTATATCCACCAATAATTTCATCTGTTCCCTTTATTTTAATAAAAGTAACATTACTTGGTTTATTATCACATAATTCATGAAATTTTTTTGGAGTAAACCCATCTCGACTTCCTCTTAATAATAATTGAAATTTATATGGTAAATATGATTCTCTAAAATGAGCAAATTTATTATTAACATCTATTTTATCAATCCATCTCGAAATAGTTGATACAATATTCAAGTTAACAATTTTTGAATCAATAATTCCATCATGTTTGATATTTCTAGGAGGTAAAATATTTTCATTCGGGTTACTATCAGGATCCATGTAAGAATTTACTAAATCTTCATAAATTTGGTGTTTTAAAAGCTTTTTGTATGGTCTAACTTTGTTCAAAAATTCCTTAGATGATAAACTAAAAAATCTAATTGAAGGTAAACAATGTTGTATAGTATTTTCCATTGTTTTGAAATCATTATCTGTCCAAGTTACAGGATCTGAAATAATAGTTGGATTTTTTGCAAGTCCCCATTTTAAAACATGTTCCCAAACTTCTATTTCTTTCATTTGTAAATCGTCTCTTTTAATAAGTTGAACTAAAGAATTTTCAGAAAGTGAAGTAAAATCAAATGATTTAAATAATTTTTCAGGTGAATTAACCATTAAATTTGTACAAAATTGTTGAAGCTCCAATAAATTATTAGATTGAAAACTTGTTTGATGAGTTAGTTCAAAATGTTGTTCCATCCATTCTGATTTATTTTTGATTAAATAATTTTGTAAATAATCAACTAATTCTTGAAGACAAAGCTCATTTGCAGCTATCAAAACTTTAAGAATATCTGAAGTGTCTTGATCATTCAATGAAAGAATACCACCATAAATATATCTATATTAGAAAATATTGAAATTAAATTATTAAATTTTAAATATTAAAAATAAATTATAATATAGTAAATTTAACTTACTTTAAAATAACTTGAAAAGTTTTTGGAATTATATTTGGTAATTTAGTATGAACCAAAACATTATCCTTGTTCTTTTTATTGGAAACCAAAGTTCGTCGTAGATATGGAGAACGGTAACATAGAATATTCATATGCGCACGAAATATTTTTACATTGGGATCTTCACCAACTTCAATTGTAACATCGTAATATTCGTCATCTTCTAATAATCCAACATAATTTTGGCTTAATCTAGAAAAAAATTGTGTATCCATTTTTTTTATTTTATTTTATTGACTTTTTTCTAATATAAAGAAAAAAGTGAAACCAAACATTGAGAGTAAATTTGGCGCTTTTTAAGGTAAATTGCGTTATTTTTGTTTCAAAAATGGATAAATTAAATATTGATGTAGATTCTTTCCAAATTCAAATGTTTATTGACGTCACTTTTCGCTCCCTGCAAAAAATTTTATCCGTAATTTCTGTGAATATGATATATTTACGGCGGAAAAATAATTAACAATCAGCCCTTAAAAATCTAAGCATCATAATTTCCATGTTTTAAGGCTATAAATTCTATGAATATGATACACAACATGAAATAAAAAAAAACATGAAATAAATTTTTTATAGGTCTGCGCCATTTGAATACACATTCGAACTGACGGAAGCATTGCCTGTCAACTTTTCAATAAGAAAAGTAGAAAACATTTTTGTGAATTGTTAATGGATTTTCAATTTCAAACGACAACACTAGCGATATCAAATTTCATTGATTGATTTGAGCTACATCTGAATACATCTGACGATTTCATAAAGCCACTACTTTCTTCCAATTTAATCAATACAATATTTACTTTAAAACGACTATCGTAATGCTTCTGCTTTCAATTTGGAAATTATCGAATAAAAATTTTTACTTATCATTTCTAATTTATCGGTACTCAATTAAATTTACTGTTTAATAATTAACTTCTTTCTAATAATTTTAAATTTTTTACCATCAAAGGTGTATCATTTTTCACTTGATAGAAAACCCATCGCGTTTCTTTAAATACCATTTAACACTTCTGGATATTTTTTTCTGTTTGATATTAGGAGTTAAATCCAATACAGTGTATGTCTATCGTATGAAATGACAATCGTGAAATTTTGTAACTTTAAAAGAAAATCTTTTCTTGTTTATTTTTCTTTAGAATGCCTGGATTCTGGAATTATTTGTTGATTTTATCCCGTAATTATACGGCTTTATTAAATGGCGTTCTTCACAACGAAAACCCAATAAAATTTACATCTTTTACCACGCTTACAAAATACTAGTTCATTTTTTCTCGATGGAAGCATATCTGCTTTAGCATAATAGTAAATGAAATTCCCTCCAAATTGCTGTAGTGAATACAAAGTTTGATTAATTGTAATAAATCATGATCAGGAGGTCATAAGGATGTTGGATTTCTTGACATGTCTTCTATTTTAAATAAAACAGCACATATCGAAGTTATACTTAATTTTTCCCATTTCACACTTTAACAAAAAAAATTTTTATTAATGTTAAAAAATAAAGAAGGATTATAAATTTTATTAAAAATATTAACATTCACATCATAAATTTGGTAAATTTTGCTTATTATAAGGGCGGGTAAAGAAAGGTCTTAATATATATAATGTAACATAAGTTTTTATATATTACGTGGGGTGGGTTTAAGGAATGGATATTACATAATAAATGTCACTGCCCTAATTATCTAACCATATTTAAAAGCAAATTTATTTTTAAAATTTTTTCCCTTCATATTAAAATTATGTAATTCTTTTTTGCCCCCTTTTCTAGTTTTGACAAAATTTACCTTTTTATCTCCTTTTTGTTCATTAATTCTTAAAGTAGGTTCAGAAGATTCATATTCAAGTCTCTGAATATGATATTGAATTAATTGAGGTATATCATTAGCGAAAAATCTGAACAAAGGTGGGGAAGGTGGAAGAGGTGGAGGTGAAAATCTACTTTCTGATGAATTAATTGGCATATCACAATTATGAGGAAAAAAAAACCAATTTCTAAAAAAAGATCTTTCTTTATATTCACGTAATTCACGTTGTTTAACATAATTCATTATAGAATCAAATATACGCTTTCTATTTTTCAACCAAATTTTTTTCTTAGATTTTGATAAATTATAATAATGATAATATGCAAGATCTACTTGCTCTATCCAATAATATTTGCTACATACAATAAATCCGACGTGGGTGTATGGTAAAATACTAATGAATTCTGTTGGACAATTAATTCTAGTCAATTCAAATCGACTAAAATAAAAAAAAAATTGGTTAATTATAAATTACAAATGTAAATATGAAAATACTAATAAAAACTTACGTAACGGTTTTAATTGAATAGCATTTATGACAACATCTAATTGCAAATTCCCAATATATTTTACATTCCTTAATACGCTTACAAACTTGACAACCTCTTTCTATCATTAATAATTGAACATATTTTTCTTCACTCATTCCTTTCGGTGGAGGTATATCTTCTTTTGGAATAAATTGTAAACGAGATTTCTTCCATATTTCTTGAGTAGTCAAAGAATTTGGGGCACATAAATATCCACGAAATACACGACATACTTGAGATAATGTTATCAACTCAGCTGGTGATAAAAATGAGCAAACTTCAATAAATATTTCAGGAGGAAGGTTTATATTTGTTAAAAAAGTGCTTTGCATTTTAATTAAAACAATAACCAAGTTGTTGATCAAAATGATCATTTTTATAAAAATATTTAAATGTGATCTTCAATGTACAGCTCCGTCCTATATTTAGTATAGTATGTGGAAATAAAATTTTCCGTGTTACGTTATTATTAATTGTACTACGAAAAAAAACGAGTTGGATTTTTCGAAACTTGAAATATTCTTGTTATCTTTTGATATACATACTTATGAATAATATTACAGACATACGGAGTTTGGTAAATTTTTTATAATAAACAAATACGGTTTATAATAATATTTATTATTTGATAGTGATATGAATAGGTCCTTAATACAAAACAAATTTTGTATATTTACTTTCACATTGTTATCATCAATTTAATTAACAGTACAAAGTCGCCTTTATTGTCGATCCTTTTTTAGTAATGAATGACACAAAGCCATTGTTAAAAAGTCCTTATATAGTTAGTTTAGTATTCAAAAATAATTTTAAAGATAATAATGATCATAAGACTCAAACTACCGCATTATTACTAAATACAGTTTTCTTTCTTTCTGTTCAACGAAAGAACTAAAACATTTGGCTTTGTAAAATTAGGTCTTGATATATTACTGGGATGTAAACATATAAAGCCATCAACTAAGTATACACTATGTAAAAATTATTTAAAAAAATGTAATTTAATTTAATTTGCCAAAAAAATTACTAAATTGAGTTTCTAACAAAATTAAATTTGCAAATTATCGAATAAATACCTCATTTTTTTTTATTTTATAATTTATTTAATGATACATAATTTTATTTTTTTCGAACCCTTTATTAATTTTCTGATTCAGATCTCACATTCATTCTACTAACTTATATTTAATAAAAATAAAAAGTATTATAAAACGTTTAGTGAGATGATTTGGCAAACTTCTTCCAGATGATATCACTCTTATATATATATAACCATAGATTTTATAAATTAAAACAGTACGAATCAAGTTTATTAATGATAATATGAATAATTTCAAGGAACTTATTAGATTGGAACCGGCTTAAAAAACAAATTACTACGCCAGATTGTATTGTGAAAAAATAAGCAATGTTAAATAATTTTAATTACATTCATTTATATTCAGAATTATAAAATTAACCATATTATAATTTACAGTATTAATAAAATTGAATTATTTGTTCAATATTATCACCACTTTTCGTACAATAATAATTATAGATGAGAAATTAAATAAAATTTTCTTTTAATTTATAGTTATATATATTTAATAAAAGTAAACAAATCGGCACTATTTGTTGCTGACTTTACCAAGTCTTTTAAAAAACTTGTCATCTGATCACAATGTTGAGGTGCAGCAACATTGATCAGAGAAAATGGGAAAATAAGAGAGGGAAATGGAAAGGGTAAGGGAAGGGGAAAGACAGAAAGCAAATGAAGAGCAAGCAGGAATACACAAAAATACACATACTACCTACATAACTATGTAAAGAAAAGGGAACTGAAGAAAAGCCCTAATAAAGAGAATACTTAAAGAAAAGAGAAGGGTGATGATCAAGTTCAACATTTGGAATTAACAAGAAATATAGCTGAAGAGTTTAATATATTATACAAAAAAATGTATTTCCATTACCACAAACTATTCTTGGTATGTAAAGCAGATTTTTGAATCATTTTAATTAAAAGCTAAGATTTCAAATTTTTTAATTAATAATGAATTAATAGTTCCAGCCAAACTTATTTTATCACTTCAAGTCCATCAAAAACTGAATGGATTTTCTTTTGGTAAATCATTAATGATTTTCACCACAGTACTTTGAAGTTGAAAATTTTCAAAAATTAATGTATAATCAATTATTAGGGAGCATTCAATAATAAGACCAAGGTAATGCCTCTGATAATGGAAGAATTGGCTGCTTCAAAAAAAAATGTCAAAATCCTCACCATTTGAGTATTCTATAATAAATTTCACGATAATTTTAAATGTGCAGATGCCTTTGATTGTTCAAAAATTAAACATTATTTTTGTTAATTCCACAAGCCAATAATATAATTGATATTCCAATTTTACTTTTCTGTAACATTTCAGCATCTTTTGGAATTGTGAGTGCATGTAAAGCAACTATTGAATATAATATCAATTCTGATTCTGATGATTGATTGTTTTGTAAAGGCACTCAATTCGTTATAGCTCCAAGATAATTAATAAATGTGGCATTCCTATAGGTTGAATTCCTGAAGATGTTATTTTTGTTTGGTTTTTTGAATTATTTCTAGTCACATAATTTCTTTAATATTAAAGATTTGCAGTAAAATTCGAATTGCAATATACATCATATGCAAGAATTGATCCTTATTTGGCAATAATATTGGGGACATATTTATATTATTTATGTTACAGTATATATATAAACCTACATCAAGGTTATGTGATACATATCATAAAAAATAATTGCATGAGTAACTTTTATTCATATGACTGATATGGGTAACTTGTGGCAGCCTATGTAATTTTACCAGCTACTGAAGTTTATAAGCTTAAAAAAAAAGGAAAGTTATGCAGATTTATAGCTTAAATCAGTTAGTAGTAATCATTAATAATCACATTCAAAGATTCGGATCATCAAATTTTTTTATTTTTAATTATTATTCCTTTTCTCATGACTTATGATTTTCTTAATAAAAATAACATTAGTTTCTTATAAATATACAAAGAAAATAATTAATAGATAATAATTAATAGATTTATGAAGAAAACAATTAATAGATAGATGTATACAAAAGGAAAAATATTAGGCTGCATATTTTTTAAAAATTTTATAGATTTTACTCATTTTGTATAATTATTGACTCATACTGCTGTTTAAAGTAGTTAAATGTTATGACTTATGAGGAAATAAAACGAAAAAAATTTTACATTAAACAAACTTTGGTTTTTTTTGGTATGTGGATGATAAAACCACAGAATTTACTTATTCTGGAAGATTTTTTAAATATGATTTAAAAGTCTGCTGGTATTATATACTAGCCTGAGGATGAGTTATTTTTGTACTTTCAGACTTATTTTCATTTCAATTTTTTTTCTAGCTAACAATCAATTATAATGCAATTATTCTAGAATTTTTTTAAGTTATAGAGTTTATGGTCAAGTATAGTCAATAATTACAGTTATAGTCCATTAATCAAAATAAGTTAATTTATTATTAAATACAGTCATAGCTAGTTACAATTCATTATAACTAATAATCCAAATGGGTTATTAATAAATAATGTAATTATGACTAATAATGGACTTTTTATTTTAAATTTCACTCATTTTGTATAATTATTGACTCACACTGTTTAAAGTAGTTAAATGTTATGAGGAAATAAAATGAAAAAATTTTACATTAAACAAACTTTGGTTTTTTTTTGATGTGGATGATAAAACCACAGAATTTATTTATTCTGGAGGATTTTTAAATATGATTTAAAAGTCTGCTGGTATTATATATTAGCATGAGGACGAGTTTTTTGGTACTTTCAGACTTATTTTCATTTCAATTTTTTTTCTAGCTAACAATCAATTATAATGCAATTATTCTGGAATTTTTTAAGTTATAGATTTTGTGGTTAAGTAGTCAATAATTACTAATCAAAATAAGTTAATTTATTATTAAATACAGTCATAGTTAGTTATTACAATTCATTATAACTAATAATCCAAATAGGCTATTTATAAATAATGTAATTATGACTAATAATGGACTTTTATATATATATTCTTATCTCATTTCTACATATTTTATCATTTCTTTATTTATACCCAATAAAGGTTTTATATTTTTCTGAAGTCAATTTGCATTGTTCATGAGATTGAGAATTTCATTTATATACTAAAATCACTAATGTTTGCTGATTATCTTCAATAACGTTAAATTTGACATTAACAAAATGACCAACAATGGTATCCTTCTCAACAGTTAAAAAATGTTTACAGCAACTTCAAAAATAAGGTTGGTTGCTGTAAGTAACGATTATTATATATCAAATTACAACCTTTAGCGGTTGTAATATTATAAATGTAAGTTGTAAATTGGCTGTAGCTAAAAGATGGTAATTTTTGATTTACAACCATTATATTTACTAACCTGACTTTACCATCTAAGGTACCCATCTAGCACGACTAACCCCACGCAGTAAACTCAGTTGCATCCAAGGTTACAGCCTGAACAGAATCTTTACTTAGTTATTTTGACTTTTGGACTTACAACTATTTATGGAGACCATCACTATTTAAAAAGCATGGCTAATTCAAAATACTTTCAATAGTGTGAATATCTTAAAAATTAGCCAAACTTTAATGTCAAATTCAAATTCTAATGTACAATATAATTATGCAACATATTCTATAATAACATCGATTGAGAATAACAAGAATTAAAAAAATTAGGGAAAGTATTCTTATAAATGAATAATGAGAGGAATATAAGCGTAGAAAATGAGATATATAGTTCATAGGTAGGTAATTATTTATGGATAGATTTGTGATTAGTTTATCAAGAAGAAGATCTGAAAAAACTTATGATGTCATATCACACATTAATAAAAAAAAAGGATAACAATAGCAAAATTGTTTAAAAAATCAGATTATTAGGATGCAATAAGATTACTGTTTCATTCTGCAAATTTCACACAAAAGACAATTAATCTACAAGACTACAACTATCATCAACTCAAACTCTAGCCTCAACTACTTTGATAATATATTCACTTTTTAATGATGTGAAAAAAAGGTTATACCCCAAATACATCAACCTAAAATGGACTAATTTATTGAATTCACTTAAAGGTGCTACTAAAGAATCAAGAAATTTCTATGAAATGATGCTTGAAGATAAAATAAAATGTACCTTATATATATATATTTAATTCATTAATATTGTTATATCAATGATTATTAGATATTGATAGTGCATTAGGAGTATTAGAGGAAATGAAATTAAGCCTAATACTGTATCATTTAATTCTTTAATTGATATATAT